GGCGATAAAAAAACCTTTAAATCACGAGAACCGATTGCTACATTACCGTAAATTGTGTAGTTCAAAATGTTCAAAGGCATTTCTATTTTAAACTACTGTCCAATGTCATTGCCATTGTCTATACATCGATCCATTGTTAATTAAGAAGGAAGGAAAGTTTCTCTTTAAACGAATCCTTTTGAATGTATCCTACAAGTTTTCCTTGCACAACGCCCTATATCATTTGTAGCATCATTGCTTTTAAATGTTTCTTAGTTCGAATAGATTATATTGCGTTGTGGAAATCATACCAAATTCGACTCTAATACAAACAACATTGTAGTAAATGGTTCGTTTGGAACTGATTAATTTACAGTCGTCGCAAAAGTTAATCGGTTCATTGATACAAAGAACACAATAGATTGGTGTTAATAGAACGATGAATCTTATGAAATATCTAATGAAGGTACTAAATCAAAGAATAATAATATACAAAGTATGTCGCTTGTCTAAAGGTCCATCGACTAGAAATCAGTAGGTCGACTGGTGCTAATGTACTTATGAAGTATTTTACATTCGTAATTCAATTGTTTTTGTAATTAGTTCTTCGATAGTATTCGTTTTGTTTTGTTCATTTGCGCATTCGATCTTGTAAATTAAAAACAATAAAAAATTTATTAATTCAGGTTGCAGCTTATAAAACTGCCCTAGAGAATATAGAGTCTATTAGCCATTTATTCTAATAAGCAACTAAACATTTTATTGAGATTGAATGTTGATGCAGATGCAATAATGAAATAAATTTAAAATAGAAAGAGATTCAGTGGATTATTATTGTAGGCTTATTGTAAGAATTTCAAAAGATCCAATTTATGCACCCCCGTTGCATGAGCATTGTAGCCGTTTGCATTACTTAAATAAATTTACTATAAATTTTCCGATTCTTTGGAAACATTACCAATTGTTTTTTAATACACTGCGATAAATTTCAGAGAATTGGATTATAGGGTGAATTGTGAGCTCACATAGATATACTGGGGTCTATTTCTGGTGTAATTACCGTTGCAATGTACATTTTACTGTTACAATTTCGAATTAATTTCCTTAATATGTGTGGTGAAATTCACGTAAATTTAATGCAGTGTTTTCATCAGCATTTATTAAATTAATATTAATCACAAGCAAGGATCATTTTCACCACTGACTTGTAGGATTCTGAGGGATGATTGGAAAACTAGGAGTTTTTTGTTTTTCGACTTCAAGGAACCGTAAAAAACCAAGAGTTTCCTTCCATTTCAGTTAAATCTACGAAAAAGCTAACAAATACTTTCATTAACAAGAATAGTTTACAGAAACAAATAGCTCTTAAATAACAAATAAGAAATACACAACAAAACTCCAAAACTGAACCCCTCACTATATCAATATTCCATGACCTAAAATCTAAGCAACATTCAAACTTCCGCCCTCGTAAATTACATTAAAAAACTCACCCGTGAAACCCTTTAAGTCGCTCGGAATAGGTTTGATAAACGAAAATACAGAACCGTCCGTTTGACGTCGCGCGTGAAGCAGCACTGCGGTGTATCGACCGCTTTACTAATATACAATAAACTTCTAACACGCAATGTATACCGAGCACGGAGCCCTTAGATTTTCTCTAATTGTACTACATTGATACAGAAATAACAAATTTCTGTAACGTAGCTGTAGCCATTAAATGGCGTATCGTTTCATGCAGGCTTGTAAAGAATGTTTGTACATATAAATTTCAAGTGTTAATATCGCTTACTGTGAGAAAGGCGGTCATATTGCTTCATTATTCGATTAATTATTTTTTAAGCTATTGCATGGCTTTTATCGCGGGCTTTGAGCGCGGCGACCGAATCAAGAAATTCCGTAACGAAAATAAAACCTAACGCTCCCACTCCGCCTACCATGTAGCTCGCGTTCAACTCATTTACACGTTGCGCTTGTGTAGTTGTGAATAAGCGCGCGGCGTGACGTCGCACTGCATGCGCATCATGAAAAGTCTGCCCGTCTATTTCTTGCGCGGTCTAGCTTATAAGTGTGAAGGGGACAGTTAATGTTTTGCTTTTGTTTAATGTTTATAAATATAGCATTGTCTTATTTTATTATTGTTTTAATATTAAATTATTATTGTCTAATTATAATTGCATAAGTTGATAAAAAATACTATGCAATAGCTTTACCGCGGCAGTCCCCGAGTGGCACACGTGTTTTTTTTTTATCTGAAACACATAACATAGAATGGAGCCCTGGTTCGTATTTGCTTGTGATAGTTGAAGGTTTTTAGGTGATCTATATATTAATACGTGAAGTAAAAAAATTGTACCCCTTTTTACGAAAATCGCGCGGACGGAGGGCTATGAAATTTCCCACACGTGTAGAAGAGAAGTTGTGCAGCATGTTAATATTTTTTTTAATTAAGCATAAACATTGCATTCAATCAATTATAAAAAACATTACACACACTACCATGTATTTGACACAACACGCATATATATTCTTTGTTATGTGTTTAAAGTCTGTGGTAAAATTGAGAATAGATTAATATTGTTTGTCTTTATTATTATTTGTCTACAGTGTAGTCTTGGCGAAATCTATATCTATCTATAGGCCTTGAGAATAGAACCAATAGTAATGTTCAAACTTATAATCTCAGTTAATGATAGTCGAATTTCGTCTACTGGGGAACCACTAGTCTACATAAATAGGCAAAAACAAAACATTTCAATCGAATTTCTTTATATTTTGATTAAAACCAGTAAAGAGTAGGTAGTTTTGGTGTAATCAATGAATTTCATTTTAATTTTTTGTTGATGTTGATGAAGTATTTATTTAAGTTTTCAAAATGAATCTAAACCTTTAGGTGTCAGCAATTACGGTTGAATATTGAACATTGAGCGAACACTTATCAATTTCATAGCACGTACCTAGTACTTTTAGCTCATGCTATTATTTTTTCCAACGTTGTAATACTGCTATTGTAATTACGTGACGTACTTGTATAAGGGCTGTATTTGCGTTACATTTGCCTACAATTAAAATTCAAATGGCGCGTGTCTGTCACTAGAGAACTAATTAAAAATTGAAGAATACGGCTTACATTCTTGCATTGATGTAACGTAATATTTAGTATATTATTTATCAGACGGAGAATCGGATAATTAAATTTTAGATTTATCTGCTTAATGTTGTAATTTTTTTATAGGAGAAGCACTTATTATCAATTTCTCTGCATCACCTTTGTTTGACTCGTCGGGGGTGTTACGTGATCCTGTAAAATCATCAGTGTACTAAATAGCATGAAGTGCGATAATTCAGTAAGTTATCGTATAAGTTTTGGTTCAGAGTCATCATCGACAGCCCACAGTCGTCCACTGCTGGACGTAGGCCTCTCCCAATCCACACCACTGAGCCCGATCTGCGACTCTCCTCATCCACTTCTTGCCGGCTACCGTTCGGAGGTCATCGCACCACATATTTTTTTTTAACGTTAGGGAATCCATTTAGGGATACCCGTTCCGGGGGGGTAACGAACCAGGTTGTGTCGGACTCCGGCGCCTCCTGAGAGGAAGAGGGGGTCGAGGAGGGCCAAGGTCTCCCACCTCCCCGAATTCCTCGCAGGAGACTACGCCCTGAAAAAGGCGCGCGAAGCGCTCGTCCCGCAAAACCAACTACCGACTAAACCCCATCGAGCTCCACCACACCGGCTACACCAGACCTACGGTACCGCAGTGTGCGCCGAAAGTCCGTCAACGCACCACCTAGCCAGGGGGCGTCCCACGTTTCGTCTTCCGCTGCGCGGTCTCCACTCGAGAACCCGTCTGCTCCAGCGATCGTCAATTCTGCGGCATATATGGCCAGCCCACTGCAACTGGTTCAGAGCGCTCGGCATTAAATAGTAGTTTGATCTTATCCTGACTGTGCTGATGTTCATGAGTAACCAATAATCAATAGGCACATGAACTATAATGCTCACCAGCTGGGCGATGTGCTCATTGAAAAAGGCAATAAAATGATACTCTTATGAGCGACAGTCGTATTTACACTGATAGGTCAGGAGAAATAAATAGCAATATCTATATACGTGAAGCAAAAACTTTGTAGTCCTTTTACGAAAATTGCGCGGCCCGAGGAGTATGGAACTTCCCACACTTATAGAGAATGTAGAGAAGGAGAGCAGTATGTTTTTTTTTTTTTTAATTAAACATAAAAATACATTAAATCAATAAAATAAAAAAAAACATTACACATACTATCATGTATTTGAGACAACATATTATATATACTCTTTATTTATTGATAACCTTTTGTTATTGTTTAAATGTGATCAAACTGAGAATAGATTGATATTATTTTTCATTCGATATTGATTATCTACTGAAAGTATGGGTACGCCTACAACAAGGGACAGATATAGCATTTATTTCATTTCACGGAGAAAAATCTGGTACTATCCACTCGACCAAGCTATTAGTGGCGCCGTCATATTTCAGTTAAGGGGCAGCCTCTTTACTTGTATCTTTCACCTTACAATAAGACACATTCCGACCGATATATTATCTAGTACTTTTATTTTATCCTTATGAATTCGAATACACAGAATTAGATGGCTTCCTTCAAAGGATTATATTTTGGATCACACATACTGCCAATATTCAGAGCAAAAGTAAAATGGTGAAATAATAGCCTGTCAGCTAATATCAGAAAATAGACCATCGCATATTTTTCAAAATACTAGGCTCTTCCTATCTTTCGTCCATAGCGGTATCTTCATATTCTCCAGCACGGTTTCCTATATTTTCTCCTTTAATTTGTGTCATGAATATTTTTAGTAAGGTATTTACGAACTTATGTGGTGGTATTATCTTCATAACAAAGCAAGCATAACAATGAAAATTAAAGGGTGGATTCCCAAAAACAAACAAAACTCGTTCTGATTATCTCAAATTTTATTGCACACTATAACTTCCAAATCAGTAAAACGAAACATTTTATTTGTGATTCCCATTTTTAAACTTATCCTCCTTCATTTTTTTATCATTGTTAGGTTTGTTCAGCGCACCTAATTTTCTTACTTTCAAAATAGCATTGCTCAATTGTTCAAATTCACATTTATCTTCTAAGGTATAACTAATGCTATTTTCATTATTGATTAGAACCTTTTTACTATCTTCTATACTGTTGCTATCAATTGCCGTCTCAGCTATGGTGCTACCATTTGCAACATATTTACTGTTCGAGTCGTTTTTATCTTCAAGTTTAGCTTTTGGTTTCTTAATGTACGTTTTGATATAGAAGTCTACAAAGAGAACTAGCATGAACAAGTCTTGAGGTAGAAAAACTGCACTGGTCCATCTCGGATATTCGCAGTCTGGCTTAAACACAATGATGCCCATATGAACAACACACCAGAAGAATTGAAGCTGTAAAATAATTAAAATGGTTGGATTAGCAGCCTCATTCAATCTTACGTAAGACCTAGTGAAAGATATATTTTATTCTGTGTTAAAAACGTTATAAATTTATAATGCGAATACGAAGTAAAAAACTGGCCTATTATTAAAAATTTAGAGACATACTTCGTATTTCTATAAAAGCCCTATTTTTTTTACGTATTCTGGACGTCATACGAGCAAGCGGCTCTATATTATCGCAATAACTATGTGTGATAAAATAAATACAATATATCCGTACTAATTTGTATACATAGACAACAACAACAACCTACAAGGCTACAAACCTTATCCACCATATAGCACTTATCTGTGTTAAAGGGCAAAATAGTCGTTATCAGAAAATAATTGATACTTTGACTTGATGTCTCAAGGTTAACGCTAGGATAAGCAGATTTTACCAGGTTAGAATTAAGCTTAATTTCCTACCCTCAGAAATAAAATTGAACCATTAACGTGTTTTAAAATAAAAAAACGTAGGTAGCTAATGACGAAAACTGTTTTGAAATATACGTATTAAGATCGTGTGGGCCGCAGGACAGTCAGTTAATGTTCAGACAAAAATGATCAGCAGGCAGCAGCTTGGCTCTGCTCCTGACATTGATGACGTCCAGGAACGACGGTAACCACTCATCATCAGGTAGGCCGCATGCTCGTCTGCCTACACGGGCAATAAAATAAATAAAAACTACGGAATACTTACGATTTGAAGTTGCGTGATATGCTTTTTCCACCAAATTGATTGCTTATAACTCGGATTGACCACTGTCAGGAAATAATAGAAATACATGACACTATGGACGAAGGAATTTATTACCCCAATAAACGTACCGTGACCACCTAGAACAAAAAATAATTTTAAGGATACATATAATCTTTTTGATTTTACCAGATGATGACCGAGCTTTGCTCGGTTTTTTTTTTGATAACGCCATCTTGGTTAGTTGTCCTCAATTAAGAAAAATAGTATTATTATTCGCCAATAGATGTCGTGAAGAGTTGATTATTGAAAACACGAATAAAACAACATTTTCTGAAAATAAATCGTATCTAGGTCGATTTATCGCCCCCGAAATCTCCTGTATACAAAATTTTATGAAAATCGTTGGAGCCGTTTCCGAGATTCAGATTATATATATACAAGAATTACTCATTTAAAGGTATAAGATTTTTTTGTATTGGGCACACAATACACATTACAAGCTAAAAAGATACACAAAAATTACTAGTAAAATAAATAAACTAAAAAATAAAACTGACTTGCAACATAAGTCATGTGCGCACGACTAAAAAAGACAAATGTATGTTTGTACACAACGTTCCTTAGAACTATAGGAGAATACAATACGTTAACGAAAACTAATCTAACTTATAATAAGGAAACAATTTTACTCACAATATACATTAAACAATTATACTACTTAACCTACTATTAACATGGAGGATGCCCTTAAACATTTTTTATAAACGTCACGCTTTTTTACAGTAAAATCATTTTTAACTATTTTTAATTCAAATTTATTTTCTATAAACTATTTTTTATAAACTATTATTTATTTTTCTTTTTTCAGTTGAATTTAAATTTTTTCAATATTTTTTTATAGTTGAATTGTCATCGGTCCTTAATAAGTATACAAAATTTCGAGTTAAACCGACACTTTGAAGGAGGTCAAAATCATGTTCAAAGATTCCGTTACAAACAAATATACGTCTGAAGCTAATAAAAGCGTATTAAAAATATTCAACTCAGTTGACGACTGCCGGTTCGATAAAGGTGCGATACATTCGGGTAATTGGATTACGAGATAATATAATAATATATTGTTTTTGTAAATTAATAATGCAAACACATTGTTTTGGTTGACCCTACGAGCACTAAATTTAGTGTTTAATGAAATGTGTGATAATTTTAGATTATATTAGGATTATAACCTAACTTTTAATGTCAAATGGATTATACTAATAAATGTCCAACATCAGACGAGTTATAATATCGTAAGGTATAGGGAGCAGTTTGGCTGTGCTAATCCTTCCTTTGAATGATGACCATGGGCAAGGTGATCATGGGCTACAAAACGTATAGATAAATAAAAAAATACTGGTGGCTCAGTTTTCAATGCAGAATAATGACAGTAACACTACAACAAAAATTAAAATTAATTTAACATCATCCTAGATTTATTTACCAGGAATATAGGTATTAGCTCCCCAAACGAGAAGCACCATTCCTGTATGATGATACAGGTGAAGGAAAGATACTTGATTGAATTTCTTCCTCAGAACGAAGAACACCTGAAATTAAAAAAAATGTGAGCCGTCACGGGACGCCTGGCAGATGTGAAACATCGACATTATTTTGTAAAAGTAATATGCAGAAAAGAACAGATTGTGATAGGAACTAAATATGTCATAATGATAAAATAAGATCTTACGAAAAAATAATTTGTTTTCAAGTAAAACACAGGTCATGTGTACTGTAGTAAACAACACTGTATACACTACGGAGTATACACTATAGGTATCCGAGCTCAGTGTAGCGAGAGAGATGGCTTGACGCCGGATCGAGTGGGAGAGAATCGCACAGTCGATTGCGCATGGCGACGCGTCGCCACGGCGTGCGTCGCCACTCCAGAAATCGGTTTTACGTGCGGCTATAGATGTTTCACATCAAAATGCACTTCTAGATCATTTTGTTCCGATAATTGTATGTATTCGTGACTAGGTCAAGATCTCTGACCCGATATATACCTTTAACACCTCATTGTTAAAAATCACTGTAAAAAATACATTGAAATGTAACTAGGTTTAACTACGCCACAAACTTCATTGGATTTAATGGTTTTGAGCGACAAATTTGGACGACAATTTTGTCTTGTCGGTCTAGCTGCAGTAATGTGGTATTTTTTTCAATCTTCGCGAGTCATAGACATTATATACCAAAATACTTTTACGGTTCAATCACACGTTTTTTTATAGTAATTGTATTAATGCTGACATTTCTGATACCTTAAAATGTTTGTCGTCACGGTCGCTTGGGAGAAATGAGTACTGGACAACTGTATTTGAGTGTTCCAATCGTAATCTAGTATCTTTGTTTAATATATTTGATGTTTCATATCGAGATGTTTTAGTTTCGTTCACGGATAACAGTTTCCATAACACAGAAGAAATTCTAAATCGGGACTGCTGATTTTTTTTAATTTTTTTTTTATTGCTTAGATGGGTGGACGAGCTCACAGCCCACCTGGTGTTAAGTGGTTACTGGAGCCCATAGACATCCACAACGTAAATGCGCCACCCACCTTGAGATACAAGTTCTAAGGTCTCAAGTATAGTTACAACGGCTGCCCCACCCTTCAAACCGAAACGCATTACTGCTTCACGGCAGAAATAGGCAGGGTGGTGGTACCCACCCGCGCGGACTCACAAGAGGTCCTACCACCAGTATTTACGCAAATTATAATTTTGCGGGTTTCATTTTTATTACACGATGTTATTCCTTCACCGTGGAAGTCAATCGTGAACATTTGTACGTATTTCATTAGAAAAATTGGTACCCGCCCGCGGGATTAGAACACCGGTGCATCGCTTCAACATGAATGCACCGGACGTCTTATCCGTTAGGCCACGACGACTCTCTCCATCACCATTGCCCCAAATGAAAAGAATACCTCAATGACTTTTCCGCCAAAAAACTCCCATAAAGAGCTCAACAAAGGCTACGAAATCTAAATACTCACGGTATCCATTAGATCTAGTAATTTGAGAATAAAATACAAATAAGTCAATCTTGTTACAAAAATTGCATCATCGTTGTAAGAGAAGTCCACTGGCTCGCATATCCATTTGTACTTCCAACCCCAGACGTAGGCAGACTGGAAACAAAGGTTAGCTGTATTCTTATGCACGCGCATTTTTATCATCGCACCTCCCGCCATCGGAGCAGAGTTCATCCATATTATCTGGAACCGCTGCGTTCATCGACAGTGCGTTTCCAAAGATCTTTTTTGCCACGTACCATGCGGCTTTGGAATGAACTCCCCTCCACGGTGTTTTCCGAGCGCTATGACATGTCCTTCTTCAAACGAGGCTTGCGGAGAGTACTTTATGGTAGGCAGCGGCTTGGCTTTGCCCCTGGCATTGCTGACGTCCATGAGCGACGGTGACCACTTACCAACAGGTGGGCCGTATGCTCGTCTGCCTACAAAGGCAATAAAAAAAACAAAAAAAAAAACGTAAATTAGTTAATAATTTTATTAAACGGAGCAACAATCACATTAAAACAAAAAACAGAGGTCTTAACAGAGCACACAAGGTTTTTAAAATTTGAGAGAGAACGAGGGTTTTCCGCTTCATTTAGAGCAAAGGCGGAATCTATACTCCAATGCCTCTTATTGTCTTTTTGTAAAGTTAAATTATTTAATTATTAATTATTAATGTTTTTTGGAACAAAGTTCCTTATGGGAGAATGCGGAGGGGTACCCTAACCGGGAAAAAACGTCCGTAACGTAAGATTTTTATTAGTAATGCACACAGTGTACGATTCAGCTTTGTAATAACGTACAAAAAATAACATATTTTTTTATCATTCATTGACCACGATCTCAGAGCGTCCGTTTGCGCAATACACTAATTCTTATGCAAACAACCGTGAATGAAGTGTACCACAATAAGTTCGCACGTTACCGAATGATCGTCGGCTGTTGTCGAAACCTCCAGTTTTATTTTCTTTATACCTCGAATAGAACTTGAAAAAATATATTTTTATAATAAGGAACTTCGTTCCTATCCGGTGTCCCACGACACCACACATCTTTTTTTTCGTTTTTTTATTTTTTTATTTTGGTATTCTATATGATATATATTATATTCTATGTGATATTCTAAATAAATAAGCGAGTATAGGTTTTCTTTATTAATTTCTATTTTATTAGTCTGAAAATAGGTATATGCGACATGTAAGGTGACAATTAATTCAACTATTTTTTCTATAAACGTGACGAAGAAGAGAAAAATAAAATACATCAGGGATTTGAATCTACAAATAGTCTATTAGGGAAATAATACCAAGATGTGATTCAAATTTTTTATCGGCACATAAAATAACTCGCGATTCCATTGGTGTTCAGTGATTACCGGATATTTTAAAGAACGGATTTGCCTATTCCGTGTCTTTACACCAGAAATCACCATGCTCGGCTGCAAAAATTAGTGAGATGATAATACCCACTCATGCGGACTTCCGATATTCTCTAGGATCATTAAACATGTGGAAGTGGTGATTACAGATGACATCTTGCTGAACAGATTAAAACTGGAGTAGGATTCTGAGCCAATTTGTTTAAGTTGATCAGATATTTGACAACATCGCGATCACACATATGTAACAATGGCACAGGACGTCTTCGACGTTATTTGTCGCATGAAATCTGAAATATGCTTCTTCCTCTTTGCATCGATAGTTCTCAATACTGAGGGTCGTGGCCTCCCTGAATAACTTTCTCTGGGACTATCCTATGCCAGCTTTGTTTATCCTTGGCTGCTTGGATGGCATCGTGGATTAAAACGTTGAGAGCGTCTCTGGACTGTTCAGCGCATTGAATTTCTGTTTCTGGACCTATTTCCACATACATTGTCGGTTACCAGGAGCTTTTCTAAATTATCACCTTTCTTTCTATATGTTCAAACAACTCGAAATTCCTCCGTCCGAAAAAAAATGAGCTGAGCCGTATCTGAAACTTGAACTGGATAACAATGGATCTCTGTTCTGTCCAATGAATCCCGAGCATTTTCCTCCAGTACCTCATATCAAATGCGTCGATGCGTTGGCGGTTGTCTTTCTTGAGGGTCCATGTTTTTGCACCGTAAAGAAAAATAGAAAAGTCGACGGAGGTGATGAACTAGTTCTTGGTTATTCCTTGAAATATTTTTGTACGCCTAAACGCGGTCCATTTGGGACATAGCACTGCTTGCTACACCAAGCGGCCTTCCGATGTACTTCTCACAGGATCCGTTACTATCTATGAAGGAGCCCAGATATGACACATCCTTTACGACTACCAGGCTTAGCTTAGTGGTCATAGTGAGGGAAAGGCTGCCATCGAACATCATGGCTTCGGTCTTTGTTCATGAGAAGCCCTATTTCTATGCTGTTAAATTCCAGTTTGCTCAGTAAGATGCACATTTTTTCCTCGTTGGACGTGAAAAGTGTTTTGTCAGCAGCAGAACGCAAGCTTTTGAGCTTTGTTGCACCAATGGAAGTCCTCTCACAATAGTCGCATGATGTACTCCTCAATCATATTGAACGTATATGGAGGTAAAATAGGAGATAATATACACCTTTATCTTACACTTATTTTAAATGATAACGGTATGGAGAGCGTGACCTCAATTCTGACCATACCTTGGTTTTCAGAGTATACAGACTGGAGCAGGGTAACCAAATGTTCCTGAACTCTCAGCTCGCAGAGTACCTTCCACCGGCATTGTCAGTTAACGTAATCATATCAATTTCTGCAAGCAGGGCTGTTAAATTCTTTCCTTCTTCTATCCAGTGGGCGAAGGGAAGAATCTCATAATAGTAGTTGGTGACTTAACTATGTCCATAGAATTGTACGTAAGTGTAGTTCATCAATTTTGGTAATCATGCTTTAGTCAAAAGCAGTTGTAAATATTTTTTTTAAGGATTCTAGCATGGTAAAAAGTTTGCCGATTTAATATGTAATTGCTTAAAAATTAAATATTTTTTTAATTAATTTAATATTTACTTACTGCGACAAATAGATAAGAGCAGGCCAATACTTGTAACAAGTTATAAATAATCAGAACTTTGTCAATATTGAACGGAGGCCTCTTTTCCATCCATTTCGGTCCCCATTTTAACACAAACATTAAGTAGAGGGTCAGTAATGTTATCACTTCATAGGGTTTCGCCAACAATGGTAGGTTCTTCATCCGGGGATCTGGAATAAACTCAAAGTTTTAGTCATTATATTAGCAATCTACTTAGAAGCGACCAAAGATGCTGCGTAAGGCATTCGATGTACTGGGATCAAGTGATGAGAGTCATGATGAATCGATGTGGATGTCAAAGCCGAGGATCACATCGTATAAACATATATATAAGACTAGACTGTCCACACTCTGCCTTCGCCACGCACTCGAGTACTTCGGTCATATTGCTCGGAAAACACCGGATAGCTTAGAAAGACTATTCGTGACAGGGAAGATCGAGGGAAAGAGACCGCGCAGGCGCAGTCCGACAAGGTGGTTCGACCAAATCCGCACCACACTAGAGATCCCATTCCACGACGCCCTTCATGCGGCCAATGATCGGAGGCGCTGACGGAACATTACAAGGAGCAAAATCCTGTCGACATATTTTATAATGGTCACGACCCTCAGCAGTGAGGAAACGACGCGAGGAGGAAACATATATCATATTGTCTAAACTAAAACGTATAAAAGACGTGCTCATGGATTACTTCCAAGATTCTTTTTTCTCCTACCTATTCGCTGGCAGCTTAGAGCTATTCTAGCATCGCGCGGACGGAGTTCACAATTAAGGAATAGCATCGTGTATTAAATAAAATCAATGTTGTAAAATTTTAAATTTTGGCAAATATGGCTGGTAGGTCGTATTGTATAGGATGTTCTAATTTAAAACCTGGAACAGCGTTGGATACAATGAACTTGAGACTTTAAACTCACGTATCAAAATGATTGGTGCCATATCTGTTAACATCTGGACTTTGATAACTACATAATTGCAGGTTAATATCTCTTAGCTCTATGCCACACGTATTCTGCCTCAATTTATAATACTTCGAGAAAAGATATTATATTTCTATTACACTTAATGTAAGAGCTATATACTACTTGTGATACTAAAACACAGAACTGAAATTGGGATGGCAGTTGCTCTTAATTATTCCGAACTATAAAAATATAAATTACAAGCCAATGAATATTAAAAATATAAAAATTTTAAAATAGCACTGAATAAGACGCTTAAATAATTAAATTACAAACAACAATAATAGGTTCCATAGTAGTTCAAATAGCTTTGTATTATGCAAAAGTACTTCATATTTTATGCATGCGGTAAGCGCGAGTTTGTGGTTGAATTATTTTTCCTGAAATAATGGAATATTTTGAATTAATATTGGAATGTTTTCTGTGTCTCAATTGATTATTAAAAAAAATCTACAATCTTTACGAGAGAGTTTATTTATTTCTGTGTGGAAAAACATAATATAGCTGTTGGTAAATATTAGTACGGGCTCACAATATGCCTCCAATTTCAAATGATCCATCTTTCCTTCTTCGTCTTATGTGGTCAGGGCAAAATGTCTTCTTTTTATTCTGGTCTATTTATAACGTCATCTCTACACCCTCACTCTTCTCACGCGTTTGCGTGGACGTAAATTCTCTTTCACACAGTCCGTCCAAGTATTTTTGGGTGCCACATCATCGATAAACCATACACCATTGATTAAAAAATTTAAAAATGTAGACCCATCAAAATAGACTTGTTCTCATAAAATTTATGTTCCTGCTTGTAACTTTCCATAGGAATTTTAAAATATCTGCACCAAATATCTGTTTACAGTTCGATTATATACTAATTTAAAATTAGTGAACTAGTCCAAAAACTATATTCGTTGGGTAACAAGTGACATGTTAAGAATTTTTTTTTATTATGAATCCAAAATTTACATTTATTAATATGTCAAACTAGGAAACACAAATAAAAGGCTATACAAACCAGGCAATTCTTCAAACAGTAATTGATACGCTTCCCATGATTTCTTCAATATCAGAGCCATTATTAGTATCGGTGAGCTCAATTAACTCTTTGACTTTTTTGGAAAACCTATTCTGGTTGTTAATAGTATGTAAACTGGCTTAGTTCTGAAGTTAAGTTCCGTGTATAGCGACGGTCAGAATGAAACTGAATTGATTTCATTGATTTGAATACTTCATTATCGGCAGGATGAATACAATCAATTCTATTAACATTTTAATTAAACCCGAATGTGGCGCATTGCGAGGTGTGCGTTTGTTTTTAAATTTACGTTCTTAAAAAACATAAGTGTGTTATTATTTTGGCTATGTAGTGTACAAAGAATTCCGCCTAAATTTGTAGGTATTGAGGAAGACGACTAAGGAGCTTATCGGAAAATATGTTGAACTTTCTCTGAGTATAGAGTATAGATATAACTATAGAGCATAGAGATATTCCGCGAAAAATACAATGGTTTTACAGGCACCATTATCTTGCCAATTCCTACCGCTAAGCTGCATTCCGATTTCGGTTTCCGGTTTGAGGGGTAGGGGAAGGGTCTGAAAGTACAGCTGGAGTTTTGAATCTATTTATCAAGGTAGGTGGCAATTACGATGTCATGTCTAAAGACTACCGAGTCCTACATTTTTTTTTTATTGCCCTTGTATGCAGACGAGCATACGGCCCACCTGATGGTGAGTGGTTACCGCCACCCATGGACTTCAGAAATGCCAGGGGCAGAGCCAAGCCGTTGCCTACCGAAGCCAAGCCGCTGCCTAACGAATATCGTGCGCGCCCCCTAGAAACGGGCACGTCGCTACCAATTCGGCTATCGGCCCGAAAAAAATTACACCTGAAGGCTCCATAAGCAGTAAGTATCAGGTCGGCCGCATCGTATACCTAAACGGTAATTTACTACATTCATTAATTTTCATGGAAAATATTTATTTTTAATCATGAATGTAATAAATAACATAGTATGTAGTGTTTTCTTCAGTTTTCGCGAGCTGTAGACTCAGTGTAAACTAATTTTAAGTTTTGTGTCATCATGCTGTTGAGTATTAGCACAATATTCAAATATCGTAACTATACTGATACCTTAGAACTGATATCTCAAGGTGGGTGGCGCATTTACGTCGTAGATGTCTATGGGCTCCAGTAACCACTTAACACCAGGTGGGCTGTGAGCTCGTCCACCCATCTATGCAATAAAAAAAAAACCAAAAAAAAAGTATCATCAAAAAGCACTTTAGTCATCCGTGACCATGAAAATTGTAGAGCATTCGAAGTGTCGGAAATATTTTGATGACAACAAAAAAATGCAATAACTAATTGTAAAAGAAGTTTTAAATATGTATATCTAAACATGGCTACAGCATATAGACTACAACAGTCGACTAAACCTTTCACTATGTATTCGGTCCATTTAATAAATATTCATCGACATTATGGAAAGATGCTTAGAATAAATTTACATGCACAATGATTATTGAAATTTTGTTTGTCAAATAAGTGAACAGTCATGCACGATCAACGGCTTTAAGACTTCTACGAGAAACGTAACTAAGACTAGTTTTAAGTTCCAATTATTTCTCATATTCTGCTAAATATTCATAGCATATTGTATAAAGCGTTTTATTTATATACTAATTTTTATGTTATAACGGTAGGTACCGCCATTTTGGATTCCGGCTTGAAGTTCACTGCAGCCCCTTTACTATAGTGAGTGAGAATTAAAACTCATGTCTTAAGATCAGTGGCGGCGTTACGTTATTGATGTCTATGGATTCCGGTTACCACTCAGCACAAGTTTATTCATGAGGCTTTTACCCGACAATAAAAATAAATATAATCTATATTATTGAATGGATTTTTAAAATAGATATACTAAATATTCGTCCAAAATCCTTCAGAGCCTTAAAACAAAAATCTACAACCAATATGTGTTACCAGTGATTACTTACGTGGTGCTTAACAAGGGATCTTTTTAGGCTTAGTATCGCGCGGCGAGCTATGGCGAGAGCTTGGTATTTCTCTGAGGGACCGAATCAGAAATGAGGAGAAAGATGCTCACATAGCCCGTAGGATTAGCAAGCTGAAGTGGCTGTGGGCAGGTCATATAGCGCGAAGATCGAACGGCCGATGGACCAGAAAGTCGAGTGGAGTCCTCGAGTGGAGACGAATCACTGGGTCACGTTGGATGCAGGTGGCAACGAATCGGTCGTACTGGACATCAGTTGCAGAGCCCTATGTTCAACAGTGGTTAGTGGAATTAACTCTGAAATTATTAGAAATAAAGGAGTGAAATTTTAAGCGTGCGATTGATGACGAAAAAGAGATACGAGTGAATGATCTCGCCTATTTTAAAATATAATTCAAAGTCTGAGTGTCATTAGACTAACGGCTTTCTAGCCTTTGAGACCGGAATACGTGAATGTTTCACGGAAAAAAATAGGCAGACAAACACATGTATTAAAATCTGGTACAATTATTTGATCTACAAACTGAACGACATGGATGTCTTGGATAGTCTCATGCTCACCTTGTGAGACTTCTAATCGAACCGTTCGTTTGGATATCGATGGGACTCGTTTCTTAAGGAACCTCTCTACACTCCTCTTCAAACTAATTAAAAATAACATTTCCCCGTTTTCCTTGACCCAGCCAGCCCATTTCACTGATAACACGACTGTTTACAACTCGAGTAGTGACAAGTCCCTTATCGCGAAAAAACCCCAAATATCAGTGGTAATCCAGTTAATGATACAGGAAATAGCCCATCGAAGTCAACCCAGCAATAAGGACTGCCGTACTCTTTTAAAGCAGGAACTTGATGCACATCTTCTGTATTAAGCTTAGAAAACTTCCCCCTAGTCACTTATATCCTGGGCCACGAAGCCGATGACATTAATAAAATCATTTATCGCCTTTCACACTAAATTTTAAAAAAAGAAAAAAAGGAGGTGGCTCAGCTAATGCTGTTCAAATTTGATTAATCGAACAGCGCTGATTTTCAGTCACCCTCGTTTCCCTTTGGTTCATTGCGGGAATAAAAGCTAGGTACGTGTGTACAGACTTAGAACGTGGTATAACCTTATATAAAAATATGAAAAACAAAACAAAAAAAAATTAAAACAATAAAAAAAATACAAAACATACATAAGCACACAAAGTAATAACAACCTGTGGGCAGCTAACAACGAAACACCAAAGAAAATAAAATAAAGCACGATCGTACTACGAGTATTACTGGCAAGCAGCACAACATTTACACTTGCATAATTATTAAAAACAATTTTATTAAAAGAAGATTTTGACAAGCAAGCATTATATAAATACTGTAAATTAAAATAGTTTTTGTGAGTCCAATAGAAATGCTTTCAAATGATAAATAAAGCCATGTTTTGTTCCAATGTGACGAATAGGTGGTGGGAGATCGTTCCAGCAATGCGTAGCTGCGTATTTAAACGCTCCCCGAAAACCGGCTGTTCTTTATATGGGCGTCAACAATGGCTTAACAATAGCTAGGGCCATACCTAGGCTGAGTGCTTCTCCAATCTAACTTCTCATACAAGTAGCTACTAGGTTCATGTATCGAAATCAATCCAAACATTAAGACTGCTAAGTGCAACTTTCTTCTAGCCGCCATTTTCAATATATTGTTATAATTTAAATACGGCGTTATGTGTCCTCTCACAGAGATTTCAATTTCATTCCACCTCATATGAAGTCTGTCCACGACCGCGCTGCCTTTACCCTCGCCAGATCTGCAAGCGGAGTAAAACGTCCCTTCGTAATAAAGTGATTCTTTACAAATCCCGACAAAGCCTAGGCGTGTGTGGTTTTCGGTTACGCAGCGCACACCATAGAGTCTCTTTAGAGGATTCAATAACGATTTTGCAGGATCGCTGCCGGAGCACCGTGGTGCGTGATGAATGTGTGGATCTTCACTACGAACTGGGTCTCGCGCTCTAGAAACAATTCCGATCCTTAGCAGAGCTATATATCGGAGTAGAGGCACGATGCAATGACTTCTCGTGGCCGCTGCGAACTATTCTCTTGAATACTCCACTCATGCAGAAGCCAGTCACCGTCGATGCCCTAAGAATGTCCTAACGAATCCAAATAAATTGTCGGTGCAATAGAAACCATTGTCGGGTTTATTCGTGTCGAGCGATACGATAGTGCTGGATGTCGAATCCCGCAGGCAGGTAACAATTTCCTGATAAAATATATACTATTACTGGTGGTAGGACGTATACTGATGGTAGGGCGTGTTGTGAGGCCGTATGAGTAGGTACCGCCATTCTAGCTATTTCTGCCGTGAAGAAGTAATGCGTTTCGGTTTGAAGGGTAGGGCGGCTGCTGTTATATCATAAAATTGCAATTTAGAACTAATGTCTCAAGATGGGTGGTGGCATTTGCGTTGTAGATGCCTATGGGCTCCGGTAACTACTCAAGACCAGGTGGACCAAAAGCTCGTCCACCTATCTGAAAAATAATAAAACTTAGCACATCTTCGAGGAATAATATCGTTTAACAAAAATCAAACTCGCAAAAATTTTAATTTGTTTAATCAGTAATTAACACCAGTGTTTTAGAGCACCTTGTGAGCTCGCACGGATAAGTATCGCCACCCTGCCTATTTTTGTCGTGCGTTTCCACCTACCGTAACCACTTATCATCAGATGGGCAGTGAGTTTGTCTGCCCATCTTAGCAATAAAAAAAAACTTATTTCCAATTTCATTTGCAAAAGTAAATCTAATTCTGTATTTATCAGAAATTGCAAATAGTAGTTTAATCTATTACACATTTGAATTCGAAACATTCGCTTAGAATCGAGAGCGTCCCGGTATTATGTATTTTAAAATTGAAAGTTGATATAAAAACGATCAGAAATATCTTAGAATCTCAAACAGGAATGCGTTTACAAAATATTAAACGCATCCACGATTTTTATGCTTTTTATTAAAAATGCTTTAAATACATTTAATTGCATTTAATTGCTAAATTTTGTGATTGTGAAAAAATTGTGATTACTACTACATTACATTTAAATTTAAAACAATTTCGGATAATTCCAATACTAATATTTTTAATGCTGTAATTCCCAATTGACTTCACAGATACTCGGTAATATTACACAAATCTTTAATGCGCGGGTGAGTTTTGAATAGGATACTTGATAAACATCACAGGAATGTATTGTCTTTAGTCGACATCCACCGCTAGCTATAGATAGAAATCTCGGATAACTTGCAGGTTATTGAGCGATAAAGACATTTTATATTCGTTGATCCTTATTAGCTTTCTTTTATTTCAACTTCAGATTTTCCACGATTGTTTTTGACGTAACTGTTGTAGTAAAACCTTCCGAACATGTATAGGAAGGCCAAGCAGTTTGTCACCACAATGACGTTCAGTGATTTCGGGTAATTGCAGTTCTGAGAGAACAGTCCAACGACATTCAGATACAAGACGAGGCAGAATTGAATCTGGAAAAACACAATCGATAAAATATATTTTTCATTATTTTTGTTCAACTAATGTTAATGCCTAGAAATCTAAAGGTAGTAAAATTAATGATAATAGGATTTTTCAATAGGGACGCTCGAACTTTGACAGCTCATAGCGGCCATCTTGGTAAAGCAATAACTTTCAAATTTGGCACGAACACATATTTAGTCATGGCATGTCACCATGAAACGCTACACGCTTGTCCTGTGGTATCATCGGCTCTTATTTTTTCGAAGATGCGCTCACTGGCGACCGATATCGGACAATATCGGTCGCCTAGGATAGATGGTATAGATCTCACAAACATTTGGTTCCAACAGGACGGCGCCACCTCGCATACAACACGGGAAACATTAAATTTATTGAATGAAAAATTCGAAGGCGCGTGAGATCGTGTGTCTTAGCACCGTTCGACTACTTTCGGTAGGGCTGCGTGAAATATCTAGTCTATGCAGATAAACCACACTCTGTTGCCGCCCTGAAGGTCAACATAACTCGCGCTCTTCGTGAAATTGAGCCCCATTTCTGCGAAGATGTCATACAAAATTGGTCCACCAGGATACATCACCTGCGGAGTCGCGGCGGCCATTTGGCTGAATTCCATACATAATGTCATCGAATACACTTTAACTATAAAATAAAAATTGTGGCAATATCACATTAACAGATTTATTTTATTTTATTTTTAAGTTCGAGCGTTCTCAATGAAAAACCCTTTATATCAAATGTTTTCAGACCTAGTATATTTTTCTGCAAATAAGCAATACTATAAAGTAAACTGGTGTTAAATTTCATACATTCAGCACGTAAGGACGTGCCATATTCGAGTCTAGCGCAATTAAATGAAATGGATAATAATATGGCCTATTGGAGAGGCGTATATAAATCACTACTTCTCTACACGTTTTTTTTTTCCCCTACCTATGCTGATAGCCTTAAGAGGCTATTTTAGCGTCATCTTGACGTGTAGGTGAGCTCACAAAACTCAAGCCGGAGTGTTGCTAACACTGTCCCTAGTCAGAGCAGTATTTCGCAGAATCTACCACCGGATCGGAAACGCGACCCACTGAGAAGATCCGGCGAGAAACTTAGTTGGCTACGCTGGCACGCTAATAGTGACAAAGCATAATACGTACGAGCTGCATTGAGGTGAGATGCTTCTTCCACCACAAGTACTTCTGGTACTGCGGTCCCAGACCGGCTACCAAGTAATAACCATACATGATAACATGAATGAATGAGTTTACTGTTCCTTCAGGAATAGCTTGGCCTCCTGTAAAAAATTTGTATTTATTATTTAAGTTTCGCTGCATTATATAGGTACGATCAAATGGGATATGATATTTTAATATACTGCGTTACGGCAGTCCACAGGTGAATGTGGCCATCCACTTTGAGACATGAGGTCGTCTCAATTTTATTTTGTATAACAGGAAAGAATAACGAATGAGTGACTCGATTAGTTTTTGTATATACATCTTTGCTATCTCTGCCCCGAAGAAATAATTTTGAGGTCATCGTGGCATAATAGAAAAAATACCCGGTATACTGGAATCGAGTGTCATAGTTGTGCCGGTGCTTAAATCTGTCAGACAGGATTTTTCTAATTAAATACTTCACAAAAGTGAATGTATTTCAAAAGGAATGTAATGCGTAGTAAGCCCGTACGGATATTTACCACCGCCTTACTTGTTTTTGTCGCGAAGCAGCTATGCGTTTTGATTTCAAATGCGGGATATCCGTTATACTATCTAATTGACACTTAAACCTTAACACGTTGAACGCCACATGAAAAATCGAGTAATTTCATTCAGGCCATGGTGCTCACCGGTGAGCCTTGACTTACGGAACCGTTCGGGTTATGAGGGTCGCCCGTGAGCCGCGTGAGGGCTCCAACGTAAACGTTTCCTACGAGCCAGGGATTGCAGCTATCAAACAAAACGCGTATGGAAGTGAGCCGAATGGCCCTTTAGCCGAACCGAACACCTTGGTTTTCCAATTCAATAGAAAGATGTAGTTTTTATCAATATTCCTTCCTTGCGTCGTATTCCTCACTGCTGAGGGTCGTGACCACCCTTTTGTATCACTTTCGCACGTACGATTTTTCTCCGTCTATTCTTGTCTCTGGCGGTGCGGAGGGCGTTGTGAAATGTGAAATCTAGAGCGGTGCGGATCTGGTCGGACCAACGTATTGGGCTGTGCCCCCCGAGGCCTTTTCCCATCCACCTTACCGGTCACGATGAGCTTCTCGAGATTGCTACCATCCTGCTGTGCAATGTGACCGAAGTATTCAAAGACTCTGCGAATGACAGTCGCGAGGAGATTTTGAGTTCTTGGAAAATTGGTACGTTAGTCCGAAATGCTGAATACGGATTATCTTTCTCCAGCATCACATCTCAAAGGCGTCAATGCGTTTGCGGTCTGCCGATTTCAGTGACTAGGCCTCAGCGACATATGAAAATATCGAGACAACTAGAGTCCGCATTAGTTTGGTTTGGTCTTTACGGAAATGTTGCGATCTCTCCAGATTTTCCGAGCTGAGTTCCGCACTCTTGACCATACCAATTCTCTGACGCACTTCCTTCTGGCACGAGCCATTGTTACTGATGTTAAGATTATCAAGATAGCCTTTTAAAATATCTTAAAAATGTAACTGTAAAAATCGCTAATTTTAATCTTCCGAGCAAATTATCGCATTTTATAAATTTTACGATGAAAATCTCAAGTTGATAAAAATTTATGATTCACTCATTGACCCGAATGGTATAGTAGGCTAGGCCCACCGGTGGGCCGAATGGCGTTAAACGTGTTAAGTTTCAAAATGGGAGGCGGCGTTCACATTGTGATGTCTATATGGCCGCTCCGGTAACCACATAACAGCAAGCGGGCCGAGAGCTCGGTCGCTTATTCAATAAAAGGTATCAACAAAAAGACATATGGTGGTATGTTTTTTGGCGAGAAAGTAAACAAAAAAGAATCGAATTTAAAATATCTGGACGGGCATTTGTACAAAGAATACAACATTATCGTGTTTTGTAATGAATATCCCAATTAAGCTTATGGATCGCCTATTAACAATTTAAATGCGCACAGTAATTAACATCGACATGACCTAATAATGGAATCGGGACACCGCATTCTTTAATAAATTAATGAGATACTTAATTCTATTGTGCCAGATCACGTGGTGCTAAGAGGCTACAAGAACCCATCGAAATTATAAATGAATTCTGCTACCCAGTTTGTGACATCAGTATTGAGCAGGACGGTAGTGCCTACACGTATAGGCTCACAATCGCTTAAGTCGTCGTGAGCCAAAGGCTTAGTGACTTAGCTTGTGGTTTGTGAATTGATTCAGCTTTATTGATATTAAAATCCCATAAGCAAGTATTTTTTTTTCTAAGACTATATGTACCCACTGGTGATAGGGCCATTTGTGAGCCCGCACGGGTACCACACCCCTGCAATTTCATCCGTGAAGCAGTAATGCATTTCGGTTTGAAGGGTGGGGCAGCGGTTGTAATTGTACTGAGATCTTAGAACTCATATCTCAAGGTGGGTGGCGGCATTAACGCTGTAGATATCTATGGGTTCCGGTAACCACTTTACATCAGATGGGCTGTGAGCTCAACCAACCACCTACGAAAAAAAAAAAAAAACTATATCCACGAACGGCTTCCACTGAAGTATTATTTTTTTGTAAATCTTACAATTTGTGATCGTCTTGTGAGTACTCTTGTATAAATGTTACCATATTTCATATTTCCTAGTTTCACGTTCGTCTATCAAACTAGTTCAATATAAATAAATACCATGGCGAAAATTTATTCTAGAGCTTAATAGTAGGGTGGCAAAAACCACCTTGGATCGAACTATGTGCTTTGTGATTGTCTCTAGGGAGGCCAGTGATCAATAGAGAAGATACCTATTCCTAGCAGCAATTTGCCCCAGAAAACGTATTCCTGATGATTCGAATTAATTTGAGACGATTCAAATGAAAGAAGATAGTATTTGAAAGGCTTAGCCTATTTAAGAATGAAATTATTGTATACCACATGATATAACTTTACTCAGATTAATCAGCACGCTTGAGGATATGAAACTCAAAGTGGGTTTCTCCTTGCTTTATCAAGAGATCATACGGGTCACGCGAAAACCATCTAATTTGCTTCATCTAAATTACTTACCAGCGTAATATTTAGTGCCGTACCAAGAGAGCAACGGCATTAAAGTGTGATGGTATAAATGTAGAAAGGTGACTTGATTTTGCTTTTTTCGAAGCACGAAGAACACGGTGTCCAAGAGTTCAGTGATCTTCGCTATGAAGTACAAATATACAATGGATGCCCACTGAAATTTACAAAAATGATACTTTAACTACAACAGCTTTTTACGTAATATACATAGTAGTAGTAATATGTAAGGAGCAATGTGACTTTGGTATAATTAATGCACATATTGAGAAGGAATACAAAAATAGTGAACATTTTATAAATACGTAAATAGAATACTTTATACCGTTTCCAATGCACTAGAAGGATATCTACATATTAATACGTGAAGCAAAAACTTTGTATCCCTTTTTACGAAAATTGTGCGGACGGAGGAGTATGAAATTTTCCACACCTATAGAGAATATAGAGAAGAAGTGCACAATGCTAATATTTTTTTTAAATAATGCATAAAAGATACATTAAATAAATAAAGAAAACATTACACACACTACATACCATGTATTTGACGCACACACGCATGCATACTATTTATTGTCAAACTTTTGTTCTTGACGTCTGTTGTCAAGTTGAGAATAGATTAAATATTGTTTGTCTTTGTTAATATTTTTTATAGTGTAGTCTTGGTGAAATTTGTGATTATAGAAGTATAAAATACAATCATAATAGTGTACAAACTTACAATTCCCATTAATTATAGTCGAATTTCGACTACTGCGGGACCTCTAGTATAGGTAAAAAGTACATATTCAATAAGTCAAAGATTTTATTAATTAACGGTCATATTTCGATAACTAGATTAAAAATAGAAGAATGGTAGAATAAAAACAAAGATCTAAATCCAATCCATAAAGGAATCCAAATTTCAAAGAAAGTCTGAATTCTAGTAGAGGATATTAGGGGTGTTTGAAATAATAAACGACGGTGACCACGTATGATCAAGAGCGCTAGGTGTCCTTCTGTGATGTAAATTAAAAGAGTTGTGCAGATTATTCTCATTCGTTTTCTTCATTCATTTTTTTTTTAATGTCGTCGGAGTAATTATTCAAAATAAAGATTAAACAATTTTTTATTAATACAATATCTCATTAAGTTTGTTGTAGGTTTTGAAAGTAATACATAAGTATATTTTAAGGCTCCAACAAAAAAATCTATTACAATACTCATAACAAAAATATGATCAGTGAATAATTTTATATTCCGACTCTATATATAGTAAATAATCGGCTCAGTGGTGTGGATTGGGAGACGCCTATGTCCAGCAGTGGACGACTGTGGGCTGTTGATGATGATGATGATGATGATGAAATAATCAGCGGCAAACCATCACATTAACACATCAACGTGCTTGGTGCGAGTTTTTTAACGTTCTCGATCGCGTAAAAGTTAACTCTAACTTGTACGAGCATGTAGGTAATTGGAAAAGCGCCCTTATCGGGAAACGTAGGCAGATTCCAACCACATAGAAATTTAGCTAACTTTTACACGATCTAGAAGTTAAAAATACTCACACTAAACACACTGGACCTAAAGTAGGATTCCTTGTAGGAATCGGAGACTGATATACAGATGAAATAAATATTTATATAAGCTTCAATAAATACGTATATGGAAATGGCACACTCAAAGAAAGAGCAAAGAAACATGCTCGTCAAATTATTATTATTTTTATTGCCTAGATGTGTGGACGAGCTCACAGCCCACCTGGTGTTAAGTGGTTACTGGAATCCATAGACATCTACAACGTAAATACGCCACACACCTTGAGATATAAGTTCTAAGGTCTCAGTATAGTTACAACGGCTGCCCCACCCTTCAAACCGAAACGCATTACTGCTTCACGGCAGAAACAGGCGGGGCGGTGGTACCTACCCGTGCGGACTCACAAGAGGTCCTACCACCAGTAAAAAAACCTACCACCATAAATGCTAGCTCGAAGTGGGAATCGAATCCACGGCCTCCGGCTCAAGAGTCAGAGGCATTAACTGCCGCCAAGTTATTTTATTTTATAGCCTATATTAAATTTACGGGATGTTATTATCGTTTTTACAGCCGGAAGCTTAACACTCCGTAACTTAACACTTACCCTCAAATTCTCCGGATCGTTTGAATAATTTATATCTTGACAGGTAAATCTATAGCTTGTTTTGTAGACGTAAACTAAACCCTGAAAAAAAAAGGTAGTCGTTTTGATTTTCTTTTTCTTTCTAGATCTCCAAACATATTCACAATGAAAATGTTGTACATATTAATATAATGTTTAGGGGATATAAATATACATTAAAGTCGCTAATTAAGAAACAAATTGCAGTCTGAATCGTTGTCTAGTTATTAAAGTTAATCGTAGTGTCCAAGGCCATTTCTGTTGTAAATACCTGTTTTTCAGATTCTTTTTTAATTTAAATACCGGTATATACTTATTAATATACACTCAGACTAGCTCGTTTTTCTCTTTTCTTTTGTTTTCAACGTAGCTCAAATTTAATTTATATTATTTATAATGACTCCTCATTCATGGCTTCCATTGTCTCAACAAAACAACTTACATCAGGCAGATTGCTATTGTTCTATTCTTTTTATATATTTTTGTTATATTAACGTTACACATAACACATGTCATTGTATTTCATATAATTCAAAAACGCGATTATATACTTTTACATAAAAACTTTTCTGTTTTTTTTTCAACTTTTTAATTATTTTGTATTTGGAACACGTTTATTATTTTAAAAACTTCTTTCGATTTTGCACCATTTCATATATTTTTTCGTGTTCATTTTCAAATTAGAATATGGAATAGAGCATTAAAGAAAATAGGATTGGAGTGATCGCCTTGCACAAAGTGGGTATGGAATCGTCGGTCATATTTCAGACAGCTTAAAAGCTTGGTATCAGCCGTACGCTCGTATATCGTACTAACAACAGATACAACAAAGACGTATTGATCCATCATATTATACTGATATCCGTAAAAAAAATAGGCTATGGAGCATGCTAAATTAGATATTTACACTACCGTACACATTCATTCATATACGTATGTACTATGTAACGTACATGCATTCGAGAAACAGATTTCCTCTTTCGGAACTCGAGTAAAGTAATTTTAAAAAGTTATTTAGCATTTGTATAGCTACTTATAAATAAAAAATCTGCGTTAGCTCACCGCCAGTTGGCAGCGTTCCCAGAAGGCTGGCAGCATTTCCACGCTGGATAGCAATGCTAATTCTTTGTGCAAAATACATACCGGCCTTCTTAAGTAAAATCGCAGACCAAACTCACCGTATAAGTTAAGTAAACGCTCAAAGCAATCTGCACAATGTTGTAAACAATTAAAACATTTTTCAGTCTGTATGGTTTCTTGTCTTTCATGTACTGAGGTCCCTTGTAGCTGCAGAAATACAAATACGCTCCCAGCACAGTGAGTACCGGCCACGGGCTCTTCATCAACCACCAATCCTTCACTCGTGGATCTATAAAAGAAATTGCAAAATTTTTAATATACTTGTGTTTGTTTGACCCGTTTCTATAGTATTACTAGCTTACCCGGCAGACTTCGTAGTGCCTCAATCGATAAATAAAATACATAAACTTTTGTATAAAATAAACATAAAACAAACAAAAGGAATCCGTCGACGGGGGACACATCAAAGGAAAAACAAAATTGTTATTTTTATTTAATTCTGAGCATTTTCATATTTATCTACCTTTCAAACCTTCTCTGAAATAATTCAAGACCAAAATTAGCCCAATCGGTCCAGCCGTTTTCGAGTTTTAGCGAGACTAACCAACAGTAATTCATTTTTATATATATAGATAGATAGAAGATAGATTATTATCTGTAGTAATAATGCTACTTCGACTTAACACTGCGATCAGAATCACCAGTATAAAAATCATTATTATTTTAATTTGATATTATTAGTTGAAATGACGTACTGGATTTTTTTCTTTATTGCTTAGATGGATGGACGGGCTTACAGCCCACCTGGGTTAATTGGTTACTAGAGCCCATAGACAACAACAACGTAAATGCCGCCACCCACCTTGAGATATAAGTTCTAAAGTCTCAGTATAGTTACAACGGCTGCCCCACCCTTCAAACCGAAACGCATTACTGCCTCACGGCAGAAATAGACAGGGCGCGGTGGTACCTACCCATGCGGACTCACAAAAGGTCCTACCACCAGTAATTATAGTTAATAAGTAAAGTAAAATTTCATAGTTTATAAGCATTAAAAAAAAAAAAAAAAAGGTGGTACCTACCCATGCGGACTCACAAAAGGTCCTACCACCAGTAATTATAGTTAATAAGTAAAGTAAAATTTCATAGTTAATACGCATTAAACTCGATCGACTTCACGAAATACCAACATTTCTTGAAATCAACAATAATTAGTAATACTAGTTTAATGCGTCGTGCTCGCGGTTAACAAATTAACCTTGTTAATTTGGAAAAAGTATATTTGTAGTTATTTTTATCATGTTAGTAACAAACATTAAGTAATGTCACAATTATTTTAATGCATATTACCATTTTTGAAGTTATAACGACGTACTGTTTTGTTGCAGTCAAGATTTGAGATTAGAGTTCACATGATTTTAACCGGGACTCATAGATATCACAGCGTGAGCACCTCTGCCGACTTTGAGACAGGAGTCTGAAGTCTCAATTGCCTAAGTGCCTTCATAGCACGAATTCTTCGGAATGAATTGAAAATCTCATCACTTGACTTGTAATTTTATGATTTCTTGGTAATAGCAGTCCAATTTACTATAGTTTTATTGTTATGTCTGATATATATTTTACTTTTAGTGATTAACAACATTTAAATGCACCTACACCAAACCTTGGTTGAATGGTAGAGAATACCTTAGTTAAAGAGTTTGTCACTGTACCCGTTGCGTGTAAAGTTTAAAAAATAACTCTAAACCAAAATGGACTAGAAGCATTTTACTGTGACTTTCCAGAGAGTTCATTATTTATATTAGAAACAATATTTTTTAGTATAGCTGACTGCTTTTACTCTTGAAGATAACTAAAATGACACTAATAAAACCCAAAATAAAACAAAAAATTCGGAATACACCTAAGCGTTTATTCCTATGTAAGAATCCTTATTCTGTTGCATTCAGTTCCCAATCCTCGGTGCAGAAAATACAAAGAGAAAAAGGTTATGAAGTGCGCAACATGCTATTCAAAAAGCAATTCTTTTTCATGACTCTGGGTACAATTGTTTGTCTCCTCTACGATATGGCAAAGGCTTTCGACAAAGTCGCGCACAATGGTTTGGTTTAGAAACTGTACGACGTGGGCGTGCCGGATAGTCAAATGATCTTAATAATCATCAAACCAGTTCGATTTAGCAATCACACAGCACAGTAGCATCGATTGACTACTGTGCCATACTGTGGAACCGGATTTCGTGAGCCTGTAGGAGTGGTTCAGGTTTCCTTGAAGGAAGTGATGGGTGCGATCCAACAATTTCTCATTACACCTATCGCCCGCTCTCCTCTTCCGCGTGGAGTCCAAAGCGTAGCTGGCACATCCTAGCCTACCTTCTCTTTGACGACGCCCTCTGCGGTACCGGTTGCAATTTAAGACTACGTTAGACGGGGTCCAAGCTTTTTCCACCACCCTACGATCAGCCTGCAATGTGACTGTTGAACAAATAGCATAGTGTTGTACGGGCCGAATGCCGTATAGTGCCCTGGCTCTTCCACTTTCTGTTTGGACCAACCGTCATTTAACTTAATGATTATAACCTAAGCCACTTTCATCAGCCAGTGGATGAGTTCGTCTTCCTCTGGTAGCGCTGCCACGGGAAGCAGCGCTCCATCCAATGGCATCTCCGTAGTAGGTGATTTCGCAGTCTGGGGCTCTTGGCGTTTCGTTTGCGTAGTGTTTCATGACCCTGATTAATGTATCGCGGGGACAAGATTTAATTACCAACCTATTGCAGTATTTGGTATTCAGAATCTGAATACGAGCCTCATAGATTCAGTCAAAAAATTATCGGCAGTGGATGATTTGTTTATGGTTCCAAACAATTTTTTGTTTGTTTTTTGTTTGTTGTTATTGAATAGATACAACCGTTATTATTTATTTTCGCGTGGCGTTTGAGTTGCATCTGTTATTTAGATTAGCGAGAACTGAACTAAATTCCAGAAAAAAATATTAAGAACATTTTTTGATGGCAAAATTAGTCGGCTTATGTAGGTTTCTAAAGGATAATACCTTGAAGGTGATAACAAACTAGCATTTTGTTTATAACTCATGTTTTTGTGGTACTTTCATGACACAATAAAGTTTGTGTTGTTGTGTAAAGGTAAGTATAACCTCAGATTATATGTAGTTTAGATCCGTTGAATGTGAAAAGTTTTATCGTATCGCAATGATAAAGTTACTAGAGTTTCATTCTGAGCAAATAAAAACGACTATTAAATTAAAATAATTAATCGTTAAAATATAATTCTGTCTTCATACCAACACTTAAAGAAAGAATCTTTGTGAAAAAACCAAGACGGGTCATATATTTTTTTTTTTTTCCCACACGCACAGAATAGAATTTATTTGTATGATTAAATTTAATCTCAGGTCAAAATATAAAAACAACTATTAAAATAATTAATAATTAAAATATAATTCTGTCTTCATACCAATACTTATAGCAAGAATCTTTGTGAAAAAACCAAGACGTGTCATTTTTTTTTTCTATTTTTTCGCAGTCGCACAGACAATATAATTTATTTGTATGATTAAATCTCAGGTTTGCAAGTTTCTTTTTAATTTTTCGGTTGTTCGGTTGTTTTCGATTCTTTAGTTTTCGTGTTTAAGTATAAAGAAATTGCTGTCGTATACATTTGGATTTAAGAGTATACTGACTAACGGCGACTTTAGTATAATAATTATAACTGTTGAAAATTCCAGGTATTTAAAGCGCCCCAAAGATACAAAATTCACTTCCTCTGTCTCTTAAATTCCTTTCCTTTTTTCCTTTATTATGATTGACATATGTATCAAGTCAAATTATAAAAAAATATATTAATTTAAGTGATTACTGGTGTTGATCCGTAATTTACTTGCGGTAGGACGTATTGTGAGCTTACACTTGTAGATGCCCTTATCTTGTTTATGTCTGTTTACAAAGTAATCGTACATTCTAGTCCCATAAACACACAGCCCACTAAGTTTCTCTCCGCATATTCTCAGTGGGTCGCGATTCCGGTCCGGTGGTAGATTCTGCGAAGCACTCCTCTTGCTAGGACAGGTGTTTGCAAACCTACCCGACTGCGCCGATACTTTGGTTTCATGTCTCAAGGCGGTTGGTAGTATTCACGCTCTATCCGATGGTTTGCAAGCGAAGTAAATTGTCTCTTCTAAATACGATGGACTCTCTACAAAACTTGCATACGTCCGGTCATGACTTATACAAGTGTGGTATTCGCTCAAGTAGACCACACATTTTTTTTTTAATTTTGATTGCTTAGATGGTTAGATAAGCTCACAGCCCACCTGGTGCTAAGTGGTTACTGGAGCCCATAGACATCTACAACGTAAATGCGCCACCCACCTTGAGATATAAATCTAAGATCTCAGTATAGTTACAAGGGCTGCCGTCAAACCGAACCGCTTTACAGCTTCACGGCAGAAATTGGCGCAGGGTGGTAGTACCTACCGGCGCGGACTCGCAAGAGGTATTACCATTTTTATTTATTTTTATTGCTTAGATGGGTGGACAATCTACCAGCCCACCTGGTGTTAAGTGGTTACTGGAGCCCATAGACATCCACAATGTAAATGCGCCACCCACCTTGAGATATAAGTTCTAAGGTCTCAATATAGTGCGGAGAGGGATGAGCTCTCCCTCTCTCGTTCCGCCTCCTCCTTCTGCGAGATTACCACATTACCACCTTACCACCAGTAAATACGCAACAAAAATAAAAATAAAAACAATGCAATTAAATTACTTGCCTCCCAAATCATCGAATATGTAATCGAAACCCCGTAGCACATTTGAAATGATCGACATCTTCTTTTAATCTTTTTTTCATGTAATATTTTTATAATATAATCACTTTGCAAAATGAATGTAACGTAAGGGTCAACTTATTTAACGACCTCTCAGCTGGCCGATTTCATTTAAAATGAAGTATACGTTTTTATATCGCTTGTAAAATACGACTTTGATAATGTCGTATTGCGTCACGGAGTGTCTAGGCGGAAGAAAAACGTATTTGGGATTTCTGTTACTGTTTTTAAAATAACTTTCGTCTCAGAAAAACTTCGTACAGAGTTTGGCGACAAACTACAAAATTAAGGTTTTATTAATTATGTGATTGAAATTAGTTGTTTCAATCGGTTAAACTATTGGTCTATTTATGTATTATTTATAATTTTAACTAGTCTGGCCATAAATAGCGTTACATAAAAAGTTTTCTTTTTTCCACATTTTTATTATTTTGAATTTGGAACACATAATATGTTATTTTAAAAATTTCTTTCGATTTTGCGCCATTTCACATATTTTTTAATACGCTTTTATTAGCTTCAGAGGTATGTATGTATGTTTGTAACGGAATCTTTGAACATGATTTTGACCCCCTTCAAAACGTCGGATTAATTCGAAATTTGGTATACTTATTAAGGAACGATGACAATTCAATATTTAAAAAAATATTGAAATTCAACTAAAAAATGAAAAATTAATAATAGTTTAAAAAAATAACAATATACGCTTTTATAGAAAATCCAACTAAAAACAGAAAATAAATTGTGGCGGGTAGCCATCATACAACGCAAGATAATTGACAGATGCCTGAATCTCGCTTACGACATTTTCAAGATAAAGCGCATATATACAAGTTCCGAACAACAACATTAGGACCGTCGGTCTACCGAGCAATATCATCCGCTCGGTGGAAGATCTTCCTTTCGTCGTATATTCCCAAACTGGTGACCTGCGACGAGATGTGAACACGCAACCTTCTGATTCATCATCAGCGCATCAAGAACTTCGGCTACCAAAATCCCGCATTCTCGCAGATAAAAACAAGTCATCGACAGTCGTCCCACAGCAAGCCAGCATCGCAGCCTCAACAGGACCATCGCAGCCGACTCATCGCGCTTCCTGGTCCTACGGCACGCACCTACACTGCCTCATCGCGTAGTATTCAAGCTCAGTCTCGACTCACCGCAGACTTCGAGCAGCACTGGCGACAATCACGCAGCATTTCAAGCTCAGTCTCGACTAACCGCAGACTTCGAGCAGCACTGGCGACAATCACGCAGCATTCAGCTCAGTTTCGACTCACTGCAAACTTCGAGCAACACTGGCGACACGCACGCAGCATTCAAGCTCAGCCTCGACTCACCGCAGGCTACGAGCAGCACTGGCCCTTGCAAGCTAATCACAGCACGGACAACGCTAACTAAAAATGACACGACCTCCAGTCTCGGAGGGGAGTGATGTGGCGGGTAGCCATCATACAACGCAAGATAATTGACAGATGCCTGAATCTCGCTTACGACATTTTCAAGATAAAGCGCATATATACAAGTTCCGAACAACAACATTAGGACCGTCGGTCTACCGAGCAAATATCACCCGCTCGGTGGAAGATCTTCCCGTTGTCGTCAAGCCTCCCAAAAATTTTTAATTAATTTGAATTAAAAATATTGTAAGAAAAAAATATTTGTTTGGTAAAAATCGTGGGGTGATTTTCAGGATGTTATCAAAATAACCCTTCTACTCATATCAAAAATATTTATAACGACTTGTACCATGCACCCCACGCTTTTTTACCATAAAATATTTTTTTCTTACACTATTTTGAAGTCAAATTTATTAAAATTTATTTTATATTAGCTTCAGACGTATGTATGTTTGTAACGGAATCTTTAAACATGATTTTGACCCCCTTCAAAACGGCGGGTTAACTCAAAATTTGGTATACTTATTAAGGAACGATGACAATTTAAGATTTCAAAAAAATTGAAAAAAATATATTGAAAAAATAGAAATTCAAATAAAAAATGAAAATAAATAATAGTTTAAAAAAACTAACAAAATACGCTATTTAGAAAATCCAACTAAAAATCTAAATATATTTTTTAATCAATTCGAATAAAAAATAGTGCAAGAAAAAATGATTTTAGTATAAAAAAGCGTGGGGTGCATGGTATCTTAGTAGTTATAAATATTTTATGAACAGATATGAGTAGAAGGGTTATTTTCATAATATCCTGAAAAGCACCCTTTTGTTGCGACTTTAGTAAATATGTAGGTATAAATTTTAATAATATTACATTACTACTTTAAAAAAAAAAAGGAGATGTGAGGTGTCATGGGACACCGGATAGGAACGAAGTTCCTTATGATAAAAATATTAATTTTAAGTTCTATTCGAGGTATAAAGAAAATAAAACTGGAGGTTTCGCAACAACCCACGGTCATTCGGTAACGTGCGAACCTATTGTGGTACACTTCATTCACGGTTGTTTGCATAAGAGTTAGTGTATTGCGCAAACGAACGCTCTGAGATCGTGGTCAATGAATGATAAAAATATATGTTATTTTTTGTACGTTATTACAAAGCTAAGTCGTACACTGTGTGCATTACTAATTTGTACGTCATTACAAAGTTTAGTCGTACACTATGTGCATTACTAATAAAAATCTTACGTTACAGACGTTTTTTCCCGTCAAGTCCCACATACCCTGCGCGCCCCCTAGGCGCAGGGAACTCGCAGGAGGTTCGGACACCGGCCCGAAAAAAAAAAACCCTCCGCATCGTCCCATAAGGAACTTCGTTCCAAAAATGATTTTTCATTTGTAACAGAACTTATGGCTGGACTAGGTATATGTGAGTATGTACTTATATCAGTCACTGTTTTTGTCAGTGCGGAGAATTTTGGTTTTGAGCCAGGTGTGCGTGCTTTGTTCCCGATGTCTACCATAACGAATTTCTTTTCTTTGTTTGTTGCCCAGCAGATGGTAAGTAGTCAGAGTCGCTTATGAACATCAAAAAAGTCAGAACAGCGAAGCCGCTGCCTATAATTAAAGGAGCAATATAATAGCTGGGACCAAAATTGGCCAACAAGTTTTCGGCTTCGATTTCGGCCCTTAGTTATATTACAGTTATCGAACAAAATATTTGATACAGCAATCGTTTGGGAGAACTGTAAAAATAGGTAGGTCAAAATTATAACTATGCAGAAATCTGCTGCTGCTACTACTACTACTACTACTACTACTACTACTACTACTACTACTACTACTACTACTACTACTACTACTACTACTACTACTACTACTACTACTACTACTACTACTACTACTACTACTACTACTACTACTAACACAACCAACACCACTACCACCATCAAGGCTCACCACGACGACCGCCCTGCTCTTTCTTCCCTCATCCAGCGAATAAAAAAGCAACAGAGCTATTCCTAATTAGGAATTGATTTACAATTTGGAAGATGGAATATATCTACATATTTTATGAACAAACACAATTTAAAATTACCAATGACGTTCGATATTTTTTTTCAATTTAAATACAAAGAGTTTTTTTTATTCAACATCACATGAAAATACATGAAATACTCATGAAAATACTCAGTTATTGATAGTGTATGTTACATACATATATGGCCCACGTGGCTCGTATAACAGAGTTATGTTAGTCTGTCAGCTTGCATGGTAAAAGCCACTTCAATTTTTTTTTTTTTTTTGGTCAGGAGGAAATCGCCGGACTTCCGCCCTCCACTGGGGATAGAGGGCAGAGCATGTCGGAGTCGAACTGACTAAAACCTCCTGTCGCTCAACAACCAACGTCCAAACCTCGCATGAGACAGAACTCATGAAGAGGCAAAGGGGGGAAAGAGAAGCGTTTAGTGCGGAGCACATCTCTCCCATCACCCTCCCCCTCGGTACGCCGGACCGGCGGTCGTCGGCTCCACGACCACCAGCCCTCTCGGTCGGCAGGCTATCCGAAGCCCGCCTAGATGGCGCCGGTTAGAGTGACTTATCCTACGGAATACCCCGCTGGACCAGAACCAGCGTGGGTCGAGGATAGCCGGCCTTCCATCACCCGGATGCTCTTGCGTAAAACGCGTGCAGAGCAGCTTGCACGTCGTCTTCTTAGACCCCCCTCGCCGGTCCCCAGACCGACATGTGAGGGAGGACCCGAAACACTTAGAGGGCCAGGGCTTGGGCGAGATCCGCCTCCCTGGCCCCCGCTCGACGGCGGCGGGATTGTGCGTCTCTCACGCGCCCCGCCGCCTCCTTCTGCGAGATGGTGCACTCGCAGAAGTCGAGCATCGCCTTCCACGACTCGTCGTCGCCGAGCATCGATGCCACAACACTCGGCAACGACAAGTCG